ACAAGTTGCAACAAACTTACAATATGCGAAGCATAATACATTTTGTAATGCTAATAAACCGGGCAGATGGTTGGCCTATACATTGAGGAAAAAACAGAGTATACGGACTATTGATAGTATTGATATTGGAGGGAAAGAAATTTTTCAACAAAAATTAATTAAAGAAGCTTTTGTGGATTATTATACTAAATTATATGCTAAAGAGGATGTGCAGAATGGACTTATAGAAAAATATCTAGATGATAAAAGAGTTATAAAAATTACTGACCAACAAAAGGAAAGAATGAATTATCCTATAACAGAGGAGGAGATAATAGTAGCAATTAAACAATTAAAAACAGCTAAAGCTCCTGGTACGGATGGCTTGACTGCAGTCTATTATAAAACTTTGCAAGTCGAAATGGTGGAACAACTTAGAGATCTATTTTGCAATATTCAACAAGGGGGTAAAATACCCCCATCATGGACAACAGCTTACATATCTTTGATACCAAAAGAGCAAGCCGGTCCTAAAAAACCGGAGAATTATAGACCAATATCTCTTCTGAACTCTGACTATAAAATTTATGCGAAAGTATTAGCCAACAGGTTGATGCCAGTAATTCAAAAGGTGATTCATGACGATCAAGCGGGATTTATCGAGGGTAGATACATGAAGGACAATGTAAGGCAAGTAATAGATCTATTGGAATATCTTGAGAAGAACAAACAGATCCCTGCAGTGCTGGTTTTCTTGGATGCAGAGAAGGCCTTTGACAGAGTGGATTGGAATTTTCTACTAAAGACTTTTAAAAAGATGAACTTTGGGGATCAATTTGTACAGGCGATTTCAGCAATTTATCAAGAGCAAAAGGCACAGATTATTATTAATGGAAGCTTGACAACAGAGTTTAAAATTGAAAAAGGAACAAGACAGGGATGTCCGCTGTCCCCACTTTTATTTATTTTAACACTAGAAGTCTTGTTAAATACAATACGGGACTCTAATATCTTGAAAGGTATAACGATAAGGCAAGAGGATTACAGAATAAAGGCATTTGCAGACGATCTAGTTGTTACCCTAACACAGCCAATGGAATCAATAATCCTGATGAAGGACATTATACAAGACTATGGTAAAGTTTCAGGTTTTAGACTGAATCACAAAAAGACTAAGATGATAGTTAAAAATATGACACAAGATCGTAAACACGAGCTTGAAAGGAGGGCAGGTTTTGAGGTTGTACCAAGGGTAAAATATCTAGGAGTCCAGGTTGCAGAATCAAATATGAAATTGTTTCAAAATAATTATGAGGTGTTGTGGCGAGAGGTGCAGAAAGATATGGAGACTTGGAAAAAACTGCAACTGTCTCTACTTGGAAGAATAGCAGCAGTTAAGATGAACATTTTGCCAAGATTTCTTTTTTTGTTTCAAATGATTCTGGTGCTTAAAAGTGATAAACAATTGAAAGTGTGGCAAGCTGGAGTGAATAAGTTTGTCTGGAACGAGAAAAAGCCGAGAGTGAAATTGAAAATTATGCAAGATGTTCCAGAAAGGGGAGGTCTTAAACTACCAAACCTACAGCTATATTATGATGCAGCAGCTTTGACTTTAACAAGTGATTGGTTTGGAAGGAAAAAGACTGGAATATTGAATATAGAAAGTTTTGATCTTGAATTTGGATGGCATGCCTACTTATTTTATGATAACAAAGTCGACAAAGTATTTAAAAGCCATATACTTAGAGACTCTTTGATGAGAGTTTGGAAGAAGCACCGATTCAAATGGGATTATAAAATACCACTATGGCTGGATCTTGGTCATACTTTGTGGAATACAAATATAATGTCACTCGGGGGGGTTTATATAAAGAGGTTCTTTTTACAGATGCGGGCAGATGGCAGCTGAAGACACTACAGACACTGGTGGCTGAAGGGATTAATATAACCTGGCTACAATATAATCAATTGCAATTGAGATGGAAAGAGGACCAAAATACTGGTATTATGTTGCATGAGGAAGAATTGGTTAGACACATAAAAGAGAAAGGTCCAATGCATATTAAAAGGCTTTATAATGTTTTGTTAGAAAGGGATTCAGAAACCGAACTAGTTAAAGATTGTATGATTAAGTGGGCTCAAAATTTTGAAGAACCAGTGATGTTGGAAACATGGGAAAAAATTTGGGTTCAGAACGTTAAATTTACACAGTCGCAGAATTTGAGGGAAAATTTCTATAAAATGTTTTATAGATGGCACTTAGACCCCCAAAAGTTATCATGTATGTACCCTAATGTTCAGCCAAAATGTTGGAGATGTGAATGCTTGGATGCTACATATTATCATGTTTGGTGGACCTGTAGGAAAGTTAAGGCTTTTTGGATAAAAATTTGGTGGGTCATGCAGAATGTTTTGAAGAAAAAAATTCAATTCTCTCCACAATTGTTTTTATTGGGTATAGTTAAGGGTTTTACATTGGGTGAAACAAAATTGATATTGTATATGATAACTGTCAGATGTAAATGCCTTATTCTCCAATGTGTAAATAATGTATATATGGAACATCAGAGGTTAACTTATTCTTTGGACTTTAATGTATTCATAACTTACCACTCCCATTCCTAGCTCCACCCCTTGTATATATAAGGAGCCACCCTCACCATTCTCGTCGCTTCTACCTTGAATATTCAGTGAATATAGAATGCCTATCATAATTAAAAAGAAATATATTTAAAGCTCTAACTCCTATTATCTTTATTGAGTCTGATCCTGAAAATATTGCAACAATAACAGCAGCAAGATTGTTGATAGGTAAATACTGGAAGAACGAAGCTTTGCCCACTATTGAGGAATGGACTTTGAAAATGGCCAGTTTTGCAGAGACGGCGAAGATTTCAGCATACTTAAAAGATTGTTCACAAGAGACTTATGAATGGGAATGGAAAAAGTGGATAGAATATGTTCAGAACAAATATCAAACTAGGAAGTATCAAATAGCTTTTATTTGAAAATAATGTATTAGAAATATTTTAATGTAATGAAGATAAAAAGAGAAATTATAAGGGGGAGGGAGGGGTTCAAGTTTTATACAAGTTTTATACTAAGGGGGGTTTTGTATCGGATATGAGTATATTGTGTGGAAGTCTGGGGGGAGGGGAGAGTTAGGGAGGGTTAGGGAGGTTTGGAAGTTTGGGGTGGGTGGTGGTGGGGGAAAAAGGGGTGAAAATGTAATTGTAAAACTTTTGCAATAAAAAAAAAGATTATATTCAAAATAAGTATCAGACTAAAAAATATCAAATAGCTTATGAATGAATCTTTAATTGTATAAGCGTTATATGAGTGATTTTAGAAGTATTATATCCAAGAAGCATGATTTTATCTATGGGGGGGGGTTAAGAATTTTTTTTTTAAGAGGGGATGTTAGTTTAATGGATAATTAAGCAATTTAGTTTATTGTTAAAAGTTAACTGAAATACCTTGTGTTCTGCTCTGGGAAGTCGGGGACGGAGGGGGGGTTAGGTGGGAGGGTTGTGAGAAAATTGTGTTTTTTTTTCTATTAAAACTTTTTCAATTAAAAAAAAATGCAGTTCTGCTCTGCTGAAAACTAGAGCCATCCATGGCTCTGGTATGTGTTATTTTAAAGAATTGTCATTAAAAACCAAAATAAAACTTTCAAACATGTATTTAAATGCATAATATCTCCAGTTAAATAAATTCAAGTTACACAAAGTCTCTGAAACACTTTTATTATTGGATACATTTCAGTTATTAAGAAATCCTTCACAGCATTAGGGAAAGTATAAAAAGAAAACCTAAAACTCAAATTTTCCAAGAATGAATCTCAGATCATTCTGTATGATCTAATATCTTCAATGAGTCTTATATATATATATAAAAGCAAAATACCATCCACACATTATCACAAAATCTCCAGAACTATAAAGCCTACAAACTTGAAATTTGCCATATATGTTCTTCTTGGCTTCTAGATGCTCACTAAGAAAGAGATTTTCGAAATGATCATCAGAACATAGTATTTCCTATATTATTATTAACATGCTCTGATGCTAAGGAGTTCTACTCCCCCTTCCCACCTGAAAAGAAATCTGTTCCAAATGCAAAACGCAAGCAGAGGAGAGGAGTTTCAGTTTTATTTTCACAGCAGCAAGCAGGGGATAGGATAGGGGAGGCTTCTGTGGGGCAAGCCTGAGGAAGAGAAGGGGAGAGGAGGGGCCAATCATAGCTACTCATTAATTTTCAAGCTGTAAGTATCGATTTATCAAGCCCAATCATATAGTTTCATAGCAGAGCACGGGTATTCACTATACACTATATTTTAGGAAAGTTGCAAAAGAAGTATATAATAAAAAAACAAATAACCTAATTCATAGTTCAGCATCAAAGTTGCTTAAAATTTTAGCTGCTTTTGAACACATTTGGTTAATGTTTAAAAGACACAGGGAGCTGAGTCACTTAAAAAAACAAAAAGTAACACTATTACACACACACACACACACATACTTACATATAGACACACACACACACATATATACACTATATATATATTCTTTATATATATATCTACATATATATATATTGTGTGTGTGTGAAAATGCATATTTAAAAGGTGATTTGTTCATCCTAACCAAAGAGTGGATACTCTATCTTGTCTCAGCACAGTTGCTGCTGTTTTCTAACAACACAAATGAAACAGCTTGACTCTTGCAATCTAGCTCCTTTCCCAGCGAGTAGGACCCAGACTCTCAATCTTTAATATATGTTATTCAGAAAAAATTATTTCAGATTTTTTTTAATGGCATAGATTACAGGTTCATGATTAAGCCTGTTGGGGTAGTGGTTAAGGCATCAAGCTAGAAACGAAGAGATGATAAATTCTAGTCCCACTTTGGGCATATACATACTGTATATATATCTCAATTCAGATATTATACACACACACACACGTATAGCTGAACACACTATATACACACTCGTATAGCTGAATAGTTGGAGCCACTAACCTGGCAAAGTTAGCTGAACTGTGCAATTAGGAATAAATGCCGGTTTCATAAGTTGTTTTGAACCTTTAAGAATAAAAACAGATGAGTTATTGCTATGCCTTCTACAGACAATCATTTGATTACATGTCAATATATTTATATTTATTTCCTTTCCACTGCTACAACAACAGATGAAAAAGCCAAATTGCTGATTTTTCACAGTAGCTAACATGATTAAGATGACATGTTCTGGGCTGCAAAATACTGGATGACCACTAGATTCTTATCATCTGCTAGGTTATTTCACTAGTTCTATTTCTACTTTCAGATGATTTCAGATAATAACATAATGTAGTGCTTTGCGCTATGCTTTCCTATCTGTCCCAGAAATCAGAGAAGGATGTGAAAGCTTTAATCACTTTTCTTTCCAGATGGTGGGGAAGGGAAAAGGGAGCATGAGACCCAGAACAAGACTTTTACTGGCTGCAGAAGAATTCCATGGAAACAGGCTCTAAAGTGTAATTGTCCTGGCATTCCACTTACCATGAAACAAAAGTAAAAAACAGAATAACATATATACTATTTTAAACAATGCTAGTGTTTTACAATAGTTTCTGACCATGATATTCTAGTATGTCAACTTATCTATCATTTTAATGCTTACATTCCTATATCGATATTAAAAATATCTCTTTCAACGTCCACCTAACCTGATTCTTTTGCATTTCAACTTCTACCTTATGTTTCTAACCATTGATAGAATTTATTCCATGTTGAATAGTATTCTGTATCTCCTTTATCTTTTATTTTTAGCATTAATCTATCCATTTCCTCACAATCTAGTATCTTCCTTATAGTCTCATCCTCTGAAGGGGTGTTTTCGTTCTTCCACTGCTGTGCATATACAATTCTTGCTGTGGTTAAGATATGTAACATTAGATATATTGTCCCTTTGTCATAACCATCTGATATAATGCCTAATAAAAACAATTCTGGGTTAAAATCTATATGTTGTCTGATCATTTTTTCTAACCACGTATGGATTTGTGTCTTTCCTTGCTTTTATGCAAGTCTACCACATGTGGTAATATGTGCCAGGTTGCACAACTGGTTACATTTCCAACAGTTTGGGGACATATTGTAAAACATTTTAGCCAAACTTGCCGGGGGCAGATGCCATCTATAGAACATTTTATAGAGATTTTCCTTATATGATGTGGCCCTTGTCAGGTTCCAGTTTCTATCCCAAAGCTTTTTCCATTTATCCAAATCTATATTATATCCAAAGTTTTTGGCCCATACTATCATCGCCTCTTTAACTTGTTCTTCCTCCATTTTATAATTTAATAGATAATTGTATAATATACTTATCAATTTGTCATCAGTCCCCACTAATATCTTGTACAATGTTGCTAGTTCTCTATAAAACCCCCATGTTTTCACATCTTTCAGATAATACGATTGTATCTGCAGGTACGACCACTACTCTAATTCCATCCCTTGGTTTTTTAGTTCTAATCTGGCTTTCAATTCACCATTCTCATTTAATATTTTTTTATAAGAAATATTTTTTTCCATATTTATAAGATTTGGATGTATCAATGCTTCTAAGGTGGGGGGATTCGACCGGAAGTGTTGCGGCAAGACAGTCGGGCATTAGAGGGCTCTGATGAGCCTCGCAAAATCCTGGACTGACGAATCGCTGCAGAGGGATCTTTGGACTGGATCTGTCCTGTAGGGACAGGGAAGAAGGAGAGGCACCTCGGAAGACCAAGAGGAACAGGCAAGTTCCTCGGAGGTCAGGGGAAACTCTCCCTGCTCTGCAGTGGGGGGCGGCAGCCATTGTGATCACCAATTAAGCTGGGGCAACTGGATCAAGCACTGAACAGCAGCGGAGAAGTGAGCAGAACATCGATGCCGGGTGACTGTCAGCTAAATCACAGGCAGAAGAGAGAGAGAGAGAGAGAGAGAGAGAGAGAGAGAGAGAGAGAGAGAGAGAGAGAGAGAAGAGAGAGAGGGAGGAGGGAGGGAGGGAGAGGGAGAGGGAGAGGGAGAGGGAGAGGGAGAGGGAGAGGGAGAGGGAGAGAGGACTATTTTTAAAATAAGTATAAAAGTCCTAGCAGTTTAACAGTGGCTAATAGGTGTGGAGAAAGGACGGAAGAAGAAGAGTAAAGCGGAAACTACAAAGTGAAAAAAAAATCCGATTAGAAAATTGTGTGCTGGATTCAAATATTTGGAGAACTTAAAAAAAATAAATTAGAAGAATTGACAACCTGAAAGATTTTTCTCTAATTAGTGAACCTTAAAAGAAGTTTAAAGAGGGAAGAAAAGCCCGCAGTAGAAAGGATTGGTTAAAGATTTTAAACTGAAATTGATTTGGAAAGTAAAGTTGAAATTTGGACTGTGTAAATTTGGACCGAGCTTTTAAACTGATTTGGAAGAAGGAAAATTAAATAAGCAAAGACTGTTCAATGTGGATTGCAAACAAAATGGATACTTTTCTAGGTTGCTGATTTCAATTGTGGATTATAGAGAGCCATCTTTAGAAGAAGAAAAAAAGACCATTACAATGCTGAATTTCTGTTTTGGAAAAAAATAATAATAAACTTTGACCTTTGAAAGAAACAGTTGTGAATCTTTAAGGAGGCTTGGTTTGTCTATAAGTGTGACTTTGATGATTAAAGAAGATTACAACGCAATTTGAAACTGGAATAATATTAACTGAAAAAGTACAAAATAGAGGAATTTAAGGAAATGATTAAAACGATGTACTTATCATTGAAGATGGAAATAAAGGAAATGACTATAATATTGCATGGAAAATCGAAACCTGATGAATTAAAAAATGACTTAAAATTTATTCAGGTGGACAAGGAAATAATTAAGGAGAAGCAAGAAAAAGAGACTAATAATAAAGAAGAAGACAAAGACAAAGAGATTGACTATGAAAAACTAAATGATTATGGGGTTAGTAATAACAAAAAGGAGAATTTCAGAGATTACATTAAGATTAATAATGGAAGAAACAGAAAAGGGGGAAAGAAGCAAAGAAAAAGAGGGCGGAATAGAAAGAATATAAAAGACTTAAATGATTACGCTGGGATTATCAGTGAGAAAATAAGAAAAAGGGAAAGGGATGGAAAATAAGGAGAAATTCAGGGCAAAACAGAAGAGTTTATGACTTTAAAAGACAAAATGATTACACTGGGATTAATAGTGGAAAGATAAGAAAAAGGGAGGATAGAGTTCAGGAATTTAAAGCACAAAAGAAAAGAAAGGGAAGGAAAAAGAAAAAAATACAAAAATGGAAAGGGAGAATTGTGATATTAACTAAGCAATTTAACATATGTATGTATGATGAATGTAATAATTGGGATACTCTTAAGTAATTAGGGGAATAGTAATAGTTGGAATACTTTTAATTATATACTTGGAATTGAACTAAAAAAGAAAGGAAAGTTGAAATGATATGGGACAATGAACTAAGTAGAAAAAAAATCATACTTATTTGGTTTCTATAAAGTTGTTGAATTGTACTATTGGGAATAGAGAGAATTTAAGGAAATGATTGGGAATTTCATTATGGTGTATTATTTGAATTAAGATTTTTACTTAATTGATTTTCTATTGAATACTCTTAATTAATTAGGGAAACTATAAAAAACCTGAAATAATTGTATTATTTGGAATATTAGATAAATAAATTGGAGATGATATTATTTATTTATTTATTTATTTATTTATTTATTTATTTATTTATTTATTTATTTATTTATTAAATTTTTATACCGCCCCCTCTCCCGAAGGACTCGGGGCGGTGAACAGCCAGAATTAAAAACACACAATACAAATATTAAAATACATTAAAACGAAATTAAATTATCTTTGGCTTCTCCAATTTAAAACCCCTTACCCATAAAATTCCCCAATTAAAATTTTTTTTAACCCAGCCCGGCTTGCTGAAATAAAAAAGTCTTCAGGGCCCGGCGGAAGGTCCGGAGGTCCGGGATTAGTCGTATCCCTGGGGGTAGCTCGTTCCAGAGGGCAGGTGCCCCCACAGAGAAGGCTCTTCCCCGGGGGGTCGCCAGCCAACATTGCCTGACAGACGGCACCCTGAGGAGGCCCTCTCTGTGGGAGCGTGTTGGCCGGTGGGAGGTTATCGGAGGCAGAAGGTGGTCTCGTAAGTAACCGGGTCCTAAGCCATGGAGCGCTTTGAAGATGAGAACCAACACCTTGAAGCGCACTTGGAAGACCACTGGAAGCCAATGCAGCTCGCGCAGGAGAGGTGTCACGTGGGAACGCCATGTCGCCCCCATAAGTACCCGCGCGGCCACATTCTGCACCAGTTGGAGCCTCCGAGTGCTCCTCAAGGGGAGCCCCATGTAGAGAGCGTTGCAGTAGTCGAGGCGGGAAGTGATGAGGGCATGAGTGACCGTGCATAGGGAGTCCCGATCCAGAAAGGGGCGCAACTGGCATATCAGGCGAACCTGATAGAAAGCCCCCCTGGCCACGGCCGTCATATGCTCTTCTAAAGACAGCCATGCGTCCAGGAGGACACCCAAGTTACGCGCCCTCTCCGTGGGGGCCAATGTCTCGCCCCCAATAGTCAGCAATGGCACCAGCTGACTATATCGGGACGCCGGCAGCCACAGCCGGCAGCCACAGCCACTCAGTCTTGGAGGGATTGAGTCGGAGCCTGTTCCGTACAGCCTCCAGGCACCAGGATATCACTTCAAGGGCATCGTTGGGGTGGTCTGGGGTGGAGATGTACATCTGGGTGTCATCAGCGTACAGATGGCACTGCACCCCAAAACCACAGATGATCTCACCCAGCAGCTTCACATAAATGTTGAACAGGAGAGGCGAGAGGACCGACCCTTGTGGCACCCCACAAACCAAGTGCCTTGAGGTCGACCTCTGCCCTCCAGCCAACACAGACTGCGACCGATCGGAGAGATAGGAGGAGAACCACCGTAAGACAGTGCCTCCCACTCCCAACCCTTCCAACTGGCGCAGCATGATACCATGGTCGATGGTATCAAAAGCCGCTGAGAGGTCTAATAGGACCAGAACAGAGGAGCAAC